CCACTGCGAGGGTGGGGAACAACAGTTTTGTAAGTAAGGTCAATGCTTATGAACCACTAGATAACACTGTTTCAACTTCATTTTCCTACGCCCTAAACCCTGTCCTTATCCATCGGATCTCCCACTGATTATTAGGGCTTCTATATCCCTAAACCCTAAACCCCTATCCCCTACATAACCCCTATAACTTAGGTGGACCCCCCCACCTTGTAATAGTGACTTTAAAGGGATGGTAGTAACTATATCAGGGTCCTCCTATCTTCCGATTGTACCACTATTGCAAGGCGGGGGGGTCCTCGTAAGCCATAAACCCTTCCAAGGGACCCCCCTAAATCCTGAACCCTAAACCCTAAACCCTAAATCCTGAACCCTAAACCCTAACCCCGAAACCCTGAACCCTAAGCTCTAAACCCGACACTCTAAGCTCGAAGCCCTGAATCCTAAATCCTGAACTCTGAACCCTGGTGAGGAGGTCGTGGAAACCTGCCCAGCCTTTGGGGATTTGGATTTAGGGTAGAGGGTAGGGCTGCTGTAAACAATCTAGGGTTTAGGGTTCAGGGTTTTACCTAGAGTTAGTCAACTTTGTACCAAATTCCTGCAACAGCGTACTATAGTTGTAATCGACTAGGGGTTAGGGCTGAAGGTGTAGGACTCAAAATTAAGCAATGAAACAACGAAGAATCATAGACAATAAAATTGATAATTCGATGGAAGCTGGGTGAACCTTCTGGGGGGGGGGAGGGGGCGTGCATCGGGATTGTCATGTAGAAGAAAAGAAAATCAAAGGGAAAAACAGCTGGAAGACTGAGTGGAAACTGGTTATAAATATCTGTAGGGTTTGGGCCTTACTGGCTATTAGGGAATGAAGGAATGGAAGAGAAAGTGAGGAAAAATACAAAAAAAGGTTTGCTATTGGGTGACTTCCCTTCATTCCCTTCGAACAACCTGCAAGTAGATAGCTCAACAAACTGGCCAAAGGGTTCAGAGGTTGAGGGTTTAGGGTTGAATCACTGGACCTAACTACGCAGCGTTTGGACATCTAAGCTCCATGTACTACCTACTGCACCACCAACACCCCCCCCCCCTGTCCATAGCAAGCCCCGCAGATCTGGCCCCTAGACCCGTAAATCCCTGAAAAGCAAAGCAGCGAGTCTCCAGTTCCTAAGCCTCCAAACAAACTTCGGCGACTTAGGACTGCTGCTATATGAGCTATAATCTAAACTCCTTAAATGGGCTCACATAGGGGAATATATACGGGAGTATTTTAGGGGTCATGAAGGGGGATACTCGGAGTTTAGACCATGGCTCAGATGGAAGCCAAGCATGAGGTCTGCTAGGTCGCACATGGGTCATTTACTTATGTCGAACATCGGTCTGAAGTAGGTCACAGTCAACCAACCCCCTCCCAGTGCCGTCAGGGCAACCAAGGGCCTTGAACCCTCAACCCTGCTACTGCTACAGGAAACTCTGAACCCTGAACCCTAAATCCCTAATCCCTGAACCCTAAACCCTAAGTAAGCCTGGAATCCCATACACTCCAAGCTCCTACCACTGGGCAATTAAATCCAAGGGGCGGAGAAGCGGATGCGCTCAACCACTGCTCCCGAGATAATCGCTGCCTTGGAAATGCAGGGTTGGGGTATAGTCCCCCTTAAGTAGATAGAATATGGGGTATATGAGGATCTTACTATAATATACCCAAGGCCATGTTCTATCTACTTAGGGGGGACTATACCCTTAAGAGCTCCAAAGAACTCAGGGCCTGGGATGTAGGGTTTTGAATTTAGGGTTCAGGGGGTTCAGGGTTTAGGATGTAAGTGCTGGCGCAATACAAAGGTATTCTACAAAGACTTAAGGAGACCCGTGATTTTAGGATGATATGACAAAATTCTTGAGAAGTATTCAAGATTGGAACCGGTTTTGATACCAGACCAAGGGTTCATAAAACTCCCTAATCCCTAAACCCTGATCCCTCAACCCTAATCCCTAAACCCTAAACCCTAAACCCTACAATGCATAAACCCTCGGAGCTTGGATGGATTGGAGTCTGGCATTGTCACATCAACACTGCCACCAGCAGGCCCTATAAAATGAGCGCTAGGAATTGCAGCTACATCCTAAATACCCCTAAAACCCTGAAACCCTAATCCCGCGTACACCCAAAAATTGTAGTTTTGCACCCTAAAAACCCCCTAAAGCCTTATACCCGAAACCACTCTAAACCCCCTAGAGATTCGGAGACCAGGCTAGGTATCCTGCTTTGAAGCCCGTCTGAAAGCTTTCAGGGGTGGGAGGGCAAGGGGAGCCCTTTTTCCTCTCTGCCTAAAATTGAGAGAATTTGTATTTAGAGCGGCCCACCCAAAAGTCAGCTCAGAATTCTGAAGCATTTGAGTAATGCTTTTTTTGGTGGTTAAACCTAGTCAGACTATATTCCTTATATAAAATACTATACTCCAAAAGGAGGATATAATCTTACTCTATATTGGGTACCATAGTATCCCCAAATAAAATACTACTCATTTGCATTTGCTGCCAAACTGCTGCGATGATGGCGAAGGTCATCTGGAAAACGGCGAAGGTCATGCCTGGCATAGGCTAGGGGTCTAGGGTTTTAAGGCGAATTTTAGGTGGAACTGATTGGAAGCACAATCACACCGGAGGTTCTCAAAACAGGCGTGCATTCGGGCGCCCGAGAGATGTAAATAGATATCATACCCCACGCGTGGGGGCTGACCAAATTCCTGCTACGAAACATGGCCACTACTAGGGCCATTACGTAGATATTTTGCTCTGGAATTATGTTATAGACGTGCAGGAATAGTGAAGAAGTTCCCCAAAGGACCTTTAGATCAACCCCCACATCCCTGAATCCTGCCTGGCATCGTGGTGTCCGGCCACACCGTGTCCAGGTTACGGAAGCCCACGTACGTGAAGCCCTTGCCAACGCCCCATTCGTCGAAAGACCACGTGAAGCCAAAGATCAACCAAGTGAGGGTCGTGAGCCCCATGGAGATGATGCTCATCATCATGGTGTTGACGATGTTGCTATCGCGTACTAGTCCTCCGTAAAAAAATGCCAACCCAGGCGTCATGAAGAGCACCAAGGCACAGGACATGGCCATCCACGCGGTGTCACCGTTGTCAAGGCCCTCCATGGCTGGCCTGGGTTGCTGTTCAGGAACTTAGATTAAGTTACCATGATGGGTATATAATATACAGTAAATAATGGGGTTTCTCAATATAGCAACTTACATTAAATTCCTTAAGTCCCTATATTCCCCCAGTTTCCATTTCATGTTGCATTTGCTTTTCCATTTGATTCTCTGATCTAGGGGGATAATATACCCCAAACCCTAAACACCTAAACCCTCAAGCCTTAACCCTTAACCCTATATCCTTAACACCAACCCAGTGGCGAGGGGACGTAGGCGAGCGGAAGGGCGGACGTGAGGCAAGCACTGACAGCAGAGCTCTTGAGCTGAACAAGGCATGCGGGGAGGACGGCTGAGTTTAGGGGTTTAGGGGTCTAGGGGGTTTAGGCTTCAGAGGTTTAGGGGTTAGGGCTTTCAGTTTTAGGGTTTAGGGCTTCAGGTTTTAGGGTTTAAGGTTCTGAAAGTGATCTGAAAACCGCCACCATGCTTGTCTACCAAACCACAAGGCCTGAAGAGGAAGATCAAAAACCCCAAGCCACTTCAGATCACTACTGAACCAGGCCTCAAAGCAAATTGGGCAACCCTAGAATTTCAGATGTCCTTTAGTTTGACCTCCTTAAGGAGGGCTATATCTTGATTATGTAAGGGGTACTATAGGGGTTACAGGCGGGGATACTAGGAGTTTAGACTATAGCTCATGGGAGTGGAGGTATGCGCTGGTTTTAGATGGTTCCATAGAACCCCCTTTAAGGATTTTAGACCCTAAACCCTAAGTCCTAAACCCTAAACCCTATAATAGTCCCCATAGAACCCCATTTTGAGGAGTTTAGACTATAGCTCATATGATACAGCCGACCCTATTATACTATAGTAGTTTCCATTATATTTTCCATTTCCCTATATAACCCAAATATAGCTCACGTGATCCCCCCCTACATCTTAGACCCTAATCCCTAAACCCTAATCCCTGATCCCTACACCCCAAACCCTAAACCCTAAACCCTGAATTATGACCCCCCCCCTTTAAGGAGTTTAGACCCTAAACCTTAAATCCTAAACCCTAAACCCTATAATAATCCCCATAGAACACCACTTTAAGGAGTTTAGGCTATAGCTCACATGATCCCAAGTCCCTGCTCTCAACCGAGGTTCCAGAGGTCTGCACAGCCAAGTGGACTGTAGGCGCCGTTGAAGTTATCGAACCTTTAGAGGCTTAGGGTTTAGGGTTTAGGGTTTAGGGCTTAGGGCCTAGGGTTTAGGGCTTAGGGTTTAGGGGTTTAGGGGTTTAGGGTGTCGGGGTTTAGGGATTTAGGGGTTTAGGGTTTAGGCTTAGCGGCTTATAGTCCCCCTTAAGTAGATAGAATATGGGGTATATGGGGATCTTATTATAATAAGATACCCAAAGCCATCTTCTATCTACTTAAGGGGGACTATAGGTGTAAGGGTGTAGGATTTTTAGGGTCTGACATCAACTTCATGGGATCGTATCTACACAGCAGGCCCGCGTCCACATCGTGGATACTGCAGCCAGCATTGGTACCAATAGTGGCCCAAATTTGCTCCAGAAGCTGCGCTGACAAAGCGGGTATACCTAGCTCATATTGGCCTTTGCAAGGGCCTTCTAACGTTGCTGAGAAGCTTCTTCCTTCAAGTACAGTGTGCTGAAAGGCATTTGCAAGTCTTATGCGTTGATGCTCTGCCCACCAGAAGAACCCTCCTAGTTTAGTAAGATATGCAGGATTATGAAGCCCTGAGCCTACCAGAGTAGGGGCCCCGAGACATCCCCTGCCACACGATAAACCACTGCCAAGTTCATGTCTACAATGACTTGTGAACGCAAACATTCAGAAGCCCCTTACACCCGAACCCTGAACTTGAAGGCCTTCAAACCCTAAACCCCAAACCCTAAACTTACTGGCTCTTGACAGGGAATGAGGGAATATACTGCCTATAGAACCCCTGTATAATCTGTTTATTCCCTTATTCCCTATTAAGAGCCAGTAAGTAAAATGAGCTACAGTCAATCTTTCCTACATTGTTTAATGGACTTGGCTTCCTTATTAGGGACTACATTCGACTCAAATACAAGAGGGCCCCTTGATGAGGCTAATACTGTCAGGAGCTCACATGTTTGGGGACATTAGTGTCTCCGTGACGAGCGTTCTTCTTGGATCTACCTGCATTCCTAGCGCATGCCACATTCCCATACAACGTCATACAACCACGCTGCACGGTGTGCCTTCATTGCCTTCATTGCCTTCATGGGGGCCATGATGACGGGTGCAGAGGCTGGTGGCGCAAGGGGGCGTGGCC